ATAAAGATAAATCAAAGCATGATTTGATTGACGCAATATTTCCATCTCTGCAAATCAACGGAGCAGATTCAAACTATATTATTTCGAGGGCGATATTATCAACAAAAAATGAAAATGTCGATGAAATTAATGATCAGTTGATTGATAGATTCTGCGGCGATGAAAAAGTTTACTACAGTTTCGATGAAGCAGAAGATGACAGAAATAACTTCTATCCAATGGAGTTTTTAAACTCGCTGACTGTCAGTGGTTTGCCCCCGCATTACCTCCGGCTCAAAATTGGATGCCCAATAATACTATTGCGGAATATCGATCCCTCTAATGGCTTATGTAATGGAACGAGATTGATATGTAGAGGTTTTCAACATAACGTAATTGATGCAGAAATAGCTGTTGGTCAGCATGCTGGAAAAAGAGTATTTTTGCCGAGAATTCCTCTTTGTCCATCTGAAGATAACATGTTCCCCTTCAAATTGAAGAGAAAACAGTTTCCAGTTCGGCTTAGCTTTTCTATGACAATCAATAAAGCTCAAGGACAGACCATTCCTAATGTAGGTGTGTATCTACCGGAATCAGTATTCTCTCACGGACAACTTTATGTGGCGTTATCAAGAGGGACATCACGTGAAAATACAAAGGTATTAGTAAAGCCTGCCAAAAAATTCAAGTGTGACGGAGTCTACACATCAAACGTGGTGTATCAAGAAGTTTTACGCGATTAATAAGGTACAAACGAGTAGTTACTGTTACACATTTTTTACAATTACGTTTGATATCTATACTATATTAATCATAAGACATTTCTTACAGGGTATATTTAACATATGGATGCTTCAAGTGGTACCTTCTCATACTCTGTATGTGTCGATTTATATTATTTTAGATAATTATATCTCTGTTTTGTTTAAACATGATTTTTGTTTTTTTGTTGTTGTTGATCATGAGTTGCATTAAGTGAAAATCATTATTAAACAATATAAAAATAACAATTGATATGTGTTTAGAAATCCGTTAATCGTGCAATTCTCTTTTCAAATCTTCGTTCAATCAACCGTAATAAAATTTGAAGTTTATAATGATCATAAACGTCATACCTTCGATTTACAAAAAACATTCGCATCCCGCCGCATTGCGCGGGTATCCAACTAGTATAAAATAATAATAATTCAGCTTTACCGGTAGAAATGAATAAAAAGTCACTTCTCTTGCCCACATCAAGTTTTAAAGTACCCTCTATACTTTGAGTTTTCTATTTTTTTTCCCTTTGTTTCAGAGAACAATATAGAGAATCTATTAGAGCAAAATATAAAATAATTTTCATTTTAGATGATCTGTTGGAACAAAATTAAGAACATAATTTCTATTTTATGGAATCTATTGAAGATGATGTATCAAGTTGTTTAAATTCAACTTAAGAAAATAATATCAGACTAAAGTTCAAATTCAAAACAATGCTCGACCTCAAAGTTTGAATGGTTTTTCAATGTTTGAGCTTATGTTCGATGTTCGATTAATAATTTACAAGTTTACGGCTTGAACCCGTTTATTAGTTCGTGCTAATTATTTTGATTTTATACCATGAACATATGAACGATTAATTGTTCGCACGGCTTGGCTTGAAATCTCGAAAAAAAATTCAGGAGTCAACGTCAAACATCAAGTTAAATGCGCTCTACTTTGTTTTCGAACTCAAGCTCAAGAATACTAGGCTCGAGATGAGTAGCTCGTTAAATGCTCAAATTGTTATTTTTTCTTCTCGTGAAAACTCGCTTTAGAAAACTTGATTTCCGAATCTCTGATTAGCCTTTAAGACCTGCAAATATTAGCAGAAAATGTAGGGAAAATCGCAAGTCTTTTCAAAACGATAATACAAATTATCCTGCATTCTCAAGAATACTTAAACGAACCAAAACTAACACAGTCTATCCCACTCGATCTTCTCTCGCCGACGTTCTGTGCAATTTACATGTTTACCCCCGGGTTCTGCATACAGAGATTCACCGATTCTGCAACTAAGATCTCAACTCAAACTAATGGTCCATGCCCGGCTTCGACCGAGCCATGTCCACGAGGGAACCAACTGAAATCTTCCTTTTTAGATGTCCCGATCTGCTTTTGCAAAAAGATGCAGAAAACTAAACAAAAAACTGGGCTCGTTAACACTCCCGACCCCACCTCCGGGTGATATATTGGGCTCGACCAGGAAACTAAACAAAAAACTGGTCTCGTTCACCCTCCCGACCCCACCTTTGGGTGAGATATACTAGGCTCGTTCACACTCCCAACCCCACCTCCAGGCGAGATATACTAGGCTCGTTAGTTACCTTGGAAACTACTTTTGCAAAAAGACCCAGAAAACTAAACACACAAACCATGAGTCTTCTCGGAAACAGCCACTCTAATCTTTGGAGGTTGATGTCAGACTGCATACATCCCACCTCCGAGCGGGATATACTAGGCTCGTTTGGTTTGGGACCCACGAAACTACCCCTACAAGGGATTGACCACTTGCCGAAATTATACGAATGAAATCCGTAAAAATAATATATTAAATGGGAAAAATGAATAGACTTGAAATATTATTATATAAGTTTTAGTATTCCCATCAACAAAAAAAGCACCCTCTTTGCAGCTTCTTCTCACACCGAAAACGCTACCCAACCTTTCACGAGATTTATGTGCTCCCTTCCCTTCCATCATTCATATAACTACGTCTCCTAATATCTCCTCCACTGTCTCTAAATCCCCTCACACTTCCATCACCACTCGTCATTTTAGCATGGCCGACACACATGCCGATGGGATGTCATCAGACACCCGACGGAAGGGACCCGGAGTCGGAAAAAGGACCGTTGCCTCGTTTGAGGCAGCAACATCAGAAACAGGGTCGATTCCCAACCCACCTTGTGGGGCGTGCAAATTCTTGAGGAGGAAGTGTGTTAACGGGTGTATCTTCGCACCCTACTTTGGATCTGACCAGGGTGCTGCTCGGTTCGCTGCAGTGCACAAGGTGTTTGGAGCCAGTAATGTGTCGAAACTCCTAATGCACATTCCGGTCAACCGTCGACAACATGCAGTAGTCACCATTTCTTATGAAGCCCAAGCTAGATTGTCCGACCCTGTTTACGGCTGTGTCTCAACCGTCCTAGCTTTGCAACAACAGGTACAAAATTGCAAGATACCCATGCAATACATTGAGCTTTTTTTTTTTTGGTAGCCGTGGGTGTCACGGTCAACTTACATGCACCTCAACTAATCTCATAGGGTCCTGAAGGTGACAGCTAGTATAATCCCAGTGACCCTATGGAGACTCGTGAACTGACGACCTATGGGGACTCTTCCCAAGGCCTAGCCTCTAGTCCCTTAGGGTGCGCTTGGTATACTGGACAGGCCAAAACAGAATAGGGACCACTTTCACGTGTGGCAGGTTTTTTATGTGGAACAGACAGAAACAAAGTGGAACAAGCGAGTTCCGCCTATATTTTATCAAAATAACCTCAAAATAATACCCCTAATTCTCTTCTAAAACATCAAATACATCTTCCTCTTTACATTTTATTCATTCTTTAAAAAATATTTATTGTATTTTATATATTTAAACTTTCACTTTCCTGGCCTCAAAATACTATTTTTATTACGGTTTTTATATTTTGAACAATTTATGTAATTTATTAAATATTAATAATAAACAAATAATATAAAAAGGTATAAAATAAAATTTGAAAACTATATAAACTTTTTATTTTGGTGTCATTTTAACCTGTCTTGACGAAAACTTTCTAATAATATATTTTGTTATTAAAAACATTATTTTATCATAATTTAATCAATTACATAAATTAATCAAAATATATAAACAACTAATTCAAAATAAATTGATCATTGTATCTGTTCTGTCTTACCAAATGCTGAACAACTTTTATGTGCCATTCTGTATTGTCCAATTTCGTTCTATCCTGCCTGGCTCCCAAGCGCACCCTCAGTCCCGAAATAAAAACGTCCATAATGAAAATGACATAGTTTTGAAGATATGTAACCATTACATTTTTTATTAACAGACATTTTCACCTTTAATAATAGAGGGAGAAATGAATTTCTTCATCTCATAATTATTCTTACTTTTGAAAGTGGACCCTAATTTTGGACCGAGGGAGTATTTGCAATTTGAGCCAACCCTCGAGAACAGTCATCAGGTTGTGCAATATAATTAAACAATGTGTTATGATGTTTGTACTTACAGGTAGCAGCATTGCAGACCGAGCTCACAATGGTGCAGAACCAGCTAATAAACAACAGGCTCCTAGTGGCAAACTCCCTTCAAAGTTCACAACAGCAACTTGAGCCAGTGCACCACCTTTCACTGCTGCGACCCGCATATTCAAATGCTTCATCTGCTTCGAATAACAACATACTTAACATGAACAGCTTTGATTCAAGTTTGAATAATCTTGCAGATGACCATCACAGAGATACACTTTCACAACAGAGCTTCAATCCTCTTCAACTTTGCCAACCTTGTAATGACGATGAGGATGATGACGAGGAAGAGAGTGGGGATCCGTTAGCATTTGCCAATCAGATGCTTCAATCCAGATAACTCCCATTGTTTCTGATAAATGAAGCTGCAAAATTTTCTTAGAAATAAGTTGGTCTTTTGTCATGCAGTGGTATGATCATACAAAGAGAAACAACAGTAGAGTCTTCATTGCCAGCAAAACAGATCAGACAGAATGGTCAAAATAATATTTAAATAATTATTTATGATATATTACATATTCACAAATGAATAAAGACCATAAGGGAAATTCAAATAAGAACCATAAAATATTTTGAGAACCTGGAAACAAAACACTTTCATGTATTATTCATGATGAATAATCCTGGATAATCATGTACATTTATTCATCATGAATATCATCCATTTTCATATTTCATGATATAGTGACATTTTCACATTCATTATGAATAAAACATGAATAGTTGGTTCTCAAGTTCTTAAAAACATACAAGCTTCTCATTTTGAACCTGTTTACTAACCATATAATATTGCTACTACCAATAAGAATCTCTATTTACTTTCGTATTCACCTTACCAGTCTTTCTAATAACTTGACAACCCTCATCAGCTTCCATCACAAAGGCCCATTGGGGTATAAAACCAGTCCAGTTTGACACCACAGATAGAACACACACGCACACTTGAAAACGCGATAAAGGGTTGTCAATTGGAGTCGAGATTGTTGAGAATTGGGCACCCTTGTGCTTACTTAAGTTGGACTCTTAAAAGGTACAAGTGAATTGATACTCAGATTGCAAGAAAGCCTCATACCTTGCTGCTATCATGTATGTTCAGAAGGCATGATTCCGGAGCAACAACTGCTACCGCAAAAACACTGTGAGCCATTTGGATTTAAACCAGTGTCTCCATAGCTGAAAGTAAGCTCCTCGTCTATTGATATATCTCGGGAAGCAAGAAAACAAACTCGAGGTAACAAAGCACCTGAACTTCGTACTAATACAGTTAAAAGATTCCCACCATCACAAGAATGGTTGATGAACCTCGCAACATTTCCAATCCTTGTGGCATCAATGTTGATCCTCATGCATGCATTTCCAGACGGAAGATGCTCCCTAACAACTAGAAGAGCGGATGTATGCTTGCCAGTGGATGCAAGTTTATCGTATATTAGTTGACGCCTTCTTGCTTCTTTTGTCGTCAACAGTTCACCTGCAATGCATAAAGGATCGGAAGTAAGTGCATAAGATATTTCCAATGTTCTTGGTCTGCGAAAAAAGGGGGTAAAGAATAAGACTTTTAAGTCTGTTGTTTCCTTTGCCCAAAAAGATGGTCCAGATATAATGACCTTTCAGAATAAAGTTATTTTATATCCATTACCATTTTCTTCTTAAGACTATGAACAGATGGTCAGAGACAGTTCTAAGTGGTGTGTCCGTGTTCCAGGCTGAAGCTTCCTGGTTTGAGATGGGAGTGTGGGTTGGATTGCATGTGCGGGTTAGGGAGTGGGAACCAGGTGTGGTGGAGAGGTCTCTTGGTCCAATTGAAGATAGTTAGAAATTGAAATAAAGGCTGGGATTTGCACGCAGATCGGTTTATTTGAGGTGGAGAATTCATTTGTGAGTATGCATAAATTTCAATCCACTTTATGTGATTTGTGTCATTCTATCTTTACAGGATTTACCGGGATACAGTTACGCCAAAGACCCTTTGGTAACAAAAAACTTTTTACAGGTAAGATATATGTATATAGATGTATGTAGGCCCTTCATGGGCATCCTTCGCTTCATTGTGCCCACCTAAAAGACCACATAATTATTGTTTGTCCATGTTTACAGCAAGGAGCACATACTCAGGTGGCCTGCTAAGAATTAGGACCATTTAGTTGTTCTGTGAATGCCAATAAAAAGGTGTCGCAATGAAATTATGAAATCAAAGCATAACAAATGTATGAAGGTCCTTTATGGGCATCCTTTGCTTCATGAAATGCCCACCTAAAAACCCAACATATTATTACTATCTGTCCATATTTACAGCAAGCAGCACAATACTTAAGTGGCCTGCCAAGAATTAGGACAATCAAAGGCAAAAAAGCCCAGAAAGGGGAAGCCAGGATGACACAAACCATAAAAACTAGATTGAAATTTAGGGAGATCGATTCATGAGAGCTAAATGACTACTTTTACCAATTTCCCCGAAATTTATACAAGCATTTTTGACAAACAGGTTACCTGCATACTCGCAAATGAAATCTCCACCTCGAATAAACTGATCTGCATGCAAACCCCAACCTTTCCTTCGACTTCTAACGACCTTCAATCGAACCGAGAGACCTCTCTGACACACCCGGTTCCCACACTCCAACCCGCACGTGCAACACGACCCACACTCCCATTTTAGCCCAGGAAGCTTCAGCCTGGAACACGGACATGCCACCGTATCCCCATCGCATCTCTCGCATTCACACTTACCACCGTCCTCCACCGTCGGAGGTAGAACCAGATTCAAATCGGGTCGTCCGTCAAAACACAAACCCCACGGCTGTCGACGCGGGTCGTCGGGTAAGCTTAGCACTTGAGTAGGACTATAGATAAAGTAGGCATATCGGTGATTGTCTACGGTGGAGTTAACGAACGGAACGGGGAGTTTCTCATAGTTCCTACAAGCGTCAGATGATCTGACGGCGGTGACGGATTTGACAAATAGATGCAGTGTTTTGCAGGTTAATGCGACCGCCGATAACTCGGCCGGAAGTAGATATGGAAGGACGTAAGCGGCGACATCGGATAATTGCTCGATTCGTGAGGGTTTCTTCCGATTGTAGTTCATTGGTTTAAGCATCAATTTTCTTGCTTATAACAGGAACCATGGCAGCTGCAACCTGCAAACCCTAGGGAATCAGCCCATACAAGAAGATATCAGAAGATGAATGGGCCGGGTCGGTTTATAATAAATGACCCGAATTCTGGCTTTTTTAGGAAGTTACAAGTTTGGTCCCTAATCTTATGAATAGTATATACATTTACCCCATCAACTAATTTGTTTTTGCAATTTTAATCCAAGTTGCTATTATTTCATAATTCATACCAATTAAAGTCTCACAAGCTAACACCATTAGTGACGATCCCTCGCGAAGGGCGCCTCATTACCTATGCGCCACTTGGTTCCTCGCACCATGGCAGGGTTTCTCTGCACGTGGGATTTGCACATCAGTATCGTTGTGGCCTTTCGCCAGAGTTTCCTTTGCTCTAAGGATGGTGATTTGCTTCGACCCAATGGAAAATCCGGCACACCAAACCCGAACGGGGATGAGAATTCTCTGCTAAAATAAGTATCGGGATCGGGGATCCCTAGTAGACTCAAGTTGGGGACAGGCGGGGGGTTGTTACTTAAACTGGGGCAGGGGGCGGGGATCCTTAGTAGACTCAAACTAACGGATATTAGTCATAAGGTTTGACTGGGGATGAGGGGATGTCACTACAAACCAGATTTTATGAGATTTGAACTCATGGCCTATTGGAAAGCAAAAAGGCTTAAATATCATTAGGGCGAAGGCCCTTTGGTAACCCCTTACATGCTAGTTACATGAAGATAGTTTGGTCATTTTACGCTAAACTATTCAATGAGTAATGAATGCGTGGACAATTTGAAAAAAGAAAATGCAAAATGACCAAATTGCTCATCGTGTAATTAGCACGTGGGGAACTTAGCGGAAAAAATAATAATAATTCCAGATAGATTGAGAGACAAAACTCGTAACCTGATGCAAACTATCGGGTGGTGGGTGTGATTCTGAAAGTAGGATAGCGAAAACCATAAATTTTGTAAACCACGTAGACTATAAAATATAACAACCGAAGTTGCAAGTTACTTGTTTGCCCTTGAGTACAAATTGCTTACGTACACACCTTTTTTTAGCACCAACAATTATGTTATGGGCTGTTTTGCAGTTGTTGAATAGTTTGGTACAAAATGATTAAGTGATCAGAATAATTAAGAGACTCTCATGATATAATGCAAAATAAAATATTAGTGTTTGGTAACTGTTTACAATAAAATCAGGGTGCTTAATGGTTAAGGGAGATCAAAATACAAAACCATTCAAAGAGTTTTAGAACCACTAAGAGGCATATTTTTTTTGTCAAACAAGATTCACCTCTTAACGAATCAAAAATTGTCTGTTAATTGAACTATTAAGAGGTAAACATACAACCCCTTAGTCTTACCTGAATCACATGAATTCTTTTTATTATAAATGGTTGACACGACAAATTAACAATACAAATTTATAGTAACAAACATATTTTTATAATATAATCAATTTTTTTTTAGTATATGGTTAAACTAGAGATGCACAAAATCCTAAACCCAAGATTGAAGTAACGTCAAATCAACCCGAAATCTTAGGGGTAGACGCAGGCATGTGTTCGGCCCCAAAAAGTCCAACATGAAAAAGTCTTTGGAAAATCCGGTTAAACCTGAAAAAGGATTGGTTTGGAAAAACCTGTTTAGGCCCTTTTTCAATCTCGAATCCAAGCCCGACCCATTCCTAAAAAAGTCAGGTCTTTTTATACTCGTTAACCTAGGCCTGAAAAACCGAGGCCCTGTACATCTTTGGGTTAAACCGGGATAAATGATATTTTGATGGAAAATGTGACAAGTATTAATATATACATTCCTGTAAAATGAGGGTCCTTTATGAAATAAGTTCATAATTGAGGGGCCTAAATGGAAGTTTGACGGAAGGCAGAGCATTACCCCCATCGGATGCATAAATTTGGGCGAATTCAAAGGTCGGCTTCTTTCGTGTTCGAAGGAAAATCAGAGAGACGATAATGGCAACTAGATTCACTCTTACCTCCACTTCTACGCTTCTTCTAGTTTGCAACTTATACGGATTCTTTTGGGTCTCGTTTTGCTCCGATCATGGCCCTCCTGTACTTAAAGGTACGTAGTTATCGTCGTTGATGAGCAATTTGGGTATTCGATTATTGTAGAAAAATTAATAAATGAAAACTATGAAGAACTTTACACTGGGAACTGAGATTTTCTTGAGATTTTGTTTACACCAACAGATTTGTGTCGAGGTACGTGTTATGTAGCATGTGGCGGGTTAAGATGTTAAGTAGGAAGTAAATTTTCTTGTAACATGTTCAAATTAGGGTTTCTTTGGTGTGATTTTTATAAAAGTTCTTTACATTTGGTACCGGTATTCATCGTTGAAATCCACAGGAAATGCACAAATTACGATAAGAAAATTAGAAGCAACCTTTAACAGGGAAAATTTTGTTTTATTCGATTCTTTAGTAATACTTACACCAGCAATTTGGCATCGAGGCACACCTGATTGTAGTTGTTGGGTGACCATAGTTTTATTCAAGTAGTTTTACTTCCAAATAAGAATATTTAGGGTTTCTTTTGTATAATTTTATTGATGGGGTTGTATTGATATGTGGCTCATGTTATTTCTAGTGGGTGATTGATAGATAAAAAGAGTCAAATTGCTTAGGCTTAGGGTTTTCTTCATCTAATTCAAGAAATTGATAAACAATTAATGTTTTCCATGCAAAACACCACTTATTATTGAAAATTTCACATGAAGCAAATGTTAAAGATTTAATTTGAGAACAAGAAGAAGCGTTTTGCATCAAGGCATAGTGGATGGCTTGTCCAAGTTTGATTCAAGTTGATTTGCTTATTAAAATGTTAAATTGGGTTTATTGTTTTACTTTTTGTATTGGTTTTGTTTACATTCAACAGTACACCTTGCTTCAAATGTGATTTGTAGCATGTCCTGATCAAACTTTGATCTAAGTAGTTATTTTCTTAGACTTCAATTTTAGGGTTGTATTCTCTGGGTTTTCTTTACGTGCAATATCTTGTTCTGTAAGTTTGAATTGCCTGATTACATCTGTAATCTATGTTTCCAATTTGAAAGAAGGCTTGTCAATTCAAAGTCAATCCTTGGCCTGTGATAGCATCTTCAAAAGATTCTCTATAATTTCTCTAAAATGAAGAAGCAAAGTTAAAATCTCCAAAGAAATTTACATTCATCTCCAACAGGGTGTATTTTGAAGATTTTAACATAAATTGTATTATTATATCAGTCAATAGATATAGTATCCCATTAAACTTTCAAATAAACCTTATATGAAATGATAATACGTTCACCTTCATTGATGGGAAGTTGGGAACAATAACAAATATTTCTTTCTGGTCAACATTTAATTTTGGAGAGTTCTTCAAATTCGGAGATTTTTATTCTCCCTCTCATACTTTCTCCATTTGGGAGGATCTGTTGGAGCAAAAAATAGGTTAAAAACTTCAAAATCTCTATTTTCTCCATTTTGGAGAATCCATTGGAGATGCCCCGAGGCTACTGAACTGGATTATGTAATGTAGTTGTTAATTTTACAAATTGGCACTTAGATTTGAAGATACTAATTATTCTCTGCATTTTAAACCACAGGGATTGATGTGCAAAATCCTGTTATAGATGTCACCCCAGCACCAATTCATGGTTCTCAAGTATCTAAAGATGTTGTATTTTGTGGACGCGTTCCTGTACATGGCATCTCCAGAATGAAACTCCAGAGTTATGCCAAAGCATATAGAATTATGTTGGTTCCTTCAGTAGTGATCCCTGATAAATGGCACAACAAGATTCAAATTTGCTTTCACAGGTAAGAGACTTCAGGTTCCACTTTATGTTTTTGTTGGTTGTTGTCCCTGTTTCTTTTCTTTTCCCACATCATTAATCTTTGAAATTTCACGATCATGGAGGATTTTTGTTCACCAAGGAAGTTGTTTGCAGGAATGCTTCACTCGGGTTATGCCAGTGTGAAAAGGACGATTGGAGATCTATTCAAAAGGGGTTTTGGAGTTCCGTTATGTCACCTTATGAGCAAAGATTTGTTGATGTGAAGTTTGTTGGTGGGGTTTCTGGTTCTGTAACTATCACACTTGATGAAGGTCAGGTGTTCGTTCATATTTCTTCATTGATTAATTGATTTCTTGAATCATCATTAGCTATTTGTTGTAAAGAAACCATCATTCTTGCAAGCGGCCACAAAAGAAAAAGAACACTTTGCAAGAATAAACAATTTTAGACAACATGTGCTGCCAAGCATGATTGTTTCCTTTTCTGTATTTGTATTTCTACAAGTTGTCCAAAATTGTGCATACTTGCAAATTATAGTGTTCTTTTGTCATTTTCTCTAGAAAGATTGTTAGCTTGCAATTAAAAGACAAGTATTTAGTTCAAAAGGCCATAACTTTGTCTTTGTCTCTATTTCTAGCTTTTTCTATGGGATCTTTTTTCACATTCGGTTTGAGAATTTGTGATGTGCAGTGTCACAGGGATGGCGCTACATCTTGCTTGCGTTTGGATTTACTTTACTATTCTTGGCACCCGTTGTTAGCCAGTGGGTTCCCTTTTACTATACCAGTTCCATGGCTATTGGAGTTTTAGCTGTTGTTATCATACTTCTTTATCAGGTATATATTCTCTTTCATGGCACATGAGATATTTGCCAAATGTACAGACTGCGATAACAAGATTTACTGAACTGTATCCTCCCTCACCCCACCCTAGAAAGAAGTTGTATTTTAGTGTGCTAGTTTATTTACCAATTGTGATGGAGTTTTAGGTTTCATTTGGTAAAAGTGTAAAACATACATTTTATGCTTATATTTGGTGAGTACATGGTGCTGACATTTTTCTTCCCAATACTGAAACAATGCCTTATTAGACAATTCTATTTTTGTTTTCAAATAGTAAGATATGAAAATTATTAAAAGATAGAAATGATGGTTTACTAAATTTGATACCTCAACCTCATTAAAGTTAGATAGCCAACATGTGTGTTTTTCATAAGTCAGTTTGGTAAACCAAGAAAACATCAGTATCAAGTTTGCAATTTGTAACTAGTGTTTGCAAAATATTATGTTCCTGTTCAGGGTTTTTTGCAAAGGAAAAATGTTGTGAAACATTGGGTTTTCATCCGCTATTACACATTATTGAAGACATCAAAAATTAAAAAATGGATGCTGAATAATACCTTGTTAATCGTTTTACAGTATTATCAGAAAGGCTTCGTTCACTGGGAATGGATGCTGAATAATAAGAGTTTTCCCAACATTATTATTGTTGCACGTGGTTCTAATGCTTAAAAGTCAATATATCCTCTTTTCTTTGAAGAGTTTCAAGATTTGCATCTAGAACATCATTTCTGCTTCTTTTAATGCATGTTTTCAATCTTATCATGATACGTCTCATCAGGAACACAAGTCTCTTATAATGGACTTAAATATGCGGGTTTAGACCAGTATTTTGTACTGCAAATAGACTATTCTTTTGTAAATTCTACTTTCGACGTTCATGCTGTTTTCTTTGTCGATTTGCATGAATAATTTCTAATTATACCATCTCTGATTTTGAACAGGGGATGAGGTTATTGCCTACTGGCAGGAAAAGTGCCTTTTATTTAAGTATATACACCTCTGCAGTAAGTTCCCTTTTCTGCGGTTTGCTTCCATCTCTATTGCATTTATAAGAGACAGAAATCTATCTGTCGATTTTTCTCATATATGAATTATGAATAGAATAGTGTCATGGGAATTTAGTAGCATTTGGATTCTGTTGTTGTGGTTTCTGTTACTATTTTATTTCTAATTACTTTGTTTTTTCTTTCTTCAGATTGGAGCAGGATCTTTCCTGGTACATTATGTTTCAGGGTTTGTCAACTCAATCCTTGTTAACTTTGGACTGAGTCAAGAAATGCAGAACCCAGTAAGATTCCCGAATCGATATTTCATGATGATACACTCTATGTCAAAAAAGAAATGCAATATTTTACTCGCTATATAGCTTAATGGAAGTGTTTTCAGTTTTTACAAGCGAAATGTTGAAAATACCCCCAACAATGCCAAATCGGAGGCATTTTCTCAACCAAAATCATTTTATCAGTATTTTGTCATAATTAATGATTGGCAAAGAGGTATTTTCGATTGAATATTTGCCAAAAAGGTAAAATGTAGCATCCATTTCGGGACATCCTGAAAGGAAATTCTTGCATTTATTTTGGGACGAAGGGAATATGTATTTAATTAGCAATTTGTCTGTAGCACATTGCAGAACCACATTGCATGCATGAAAAAAAAAGTTGCCATCCATGCTTTGGCTTGCTTCAGTTTAGCAAAAGGGAACACTTTAAATGTTTTTTATTACGAAAATATACTTGACTATCTGTTTGTATCAAGGCTGAGGACTTCTGAAGGCTGAAGCGGGTAAAACACAATTTTATTCTTTTTTTGATTTCAGTATCTTACTTTTTTGAACATAAGAACGCTTTTTTGATTTAGCTATCGAACACGAATCACATCATAGTTTGCATTACTAAAAAAATAAAATATAAGCATAAACTAAACGGTGCAAGTGTTACGAAACATGACCTTAGCATGCTCTTCTATTTTTGCAGAAGGCCCCCTTTCTTACATACGAAACTTGTTGTACTTGTGCTCTTTAATTTTGCAGGTTTCGGTATTTGTGGTACTTGCTATCGTTCTTTTGGGAGCCGGTCTTGGATATTGGCTGGTGCGCAGATATGTTATTTCTGAAGATGGAGACGTTGATGTTGGAGTAGCCCAATTTATCAAATGGGCCATGCGTGTTGTTGCAGTCGCATGCATTTTTCTGGTTAGTTATGGTCACCAATTCGATCACGTTTTTGCAGCAATATTTATGGTTTGATTTATTTTGATAAATAATGCCATAGGTTTGCATTTTGGCTTGTATTTGCATCCAAATTGTCATCATGGTTTAGGATGTTTGATGCAATTTTTTCCTGTGATGGCAAGCAAATACATTGTGTAGGCGAAAGTATTCATATGTAAAAATGATGAATTTACCAAAAGGTGTTAAGATGTGCTGTATATATGGGCAAGTTCAAATGAGAACCATAAATATTTTGAGAATGGGGGAACCAAATATTCATGCTTTATTCCTGATGAATGTTGTGAAAGATATTCATAATGAAAATGCCTTACATTCATGATAATAATGAATGATATCATGAATTATGAAAATACATCATATTTCAGGGTTATTCATCATCAATAATAAATGAAATAGATAGTTGACAGGTTCTCAAAATATATTCTTCTGAAAATGTGGGAACTACCTATTTCATGAGTTATCCATGATAAGTAACTCTAGATATTCATGCTTATTGTTCATCATGATTTTCATTATTCATGATATTGATCATGAATATCTATCACAATATTCATCATGAACAATTCATGAATGGTTGGTTCCTAGGTTTTCAAAATATTTACGGTTGTTTGAACCTACCCCTATACATATGTGTGGGTGTGTTAAAAATAAGTTTTGCATTGGACTTTATCAGGCTCTTGGTTTCTTCTCAGAGCTCTATTGACACTCCTTTGGCTACGGTAGCAGTTGGTTCTTGTTTGGCACTATATTGGGCTATTACATCTATCGAGTGGCATGATCATCAGTAAGTTCTACTCCTTTTTCCTGTCTATAACTCCTGTTGCAAGTGTAACAACTCATCCCACATGGATAGAAAATGGGATTTGTGAGCTCCTTATAAGCGTCAAGTGAGGGCTACCAATGACTTCCACCATGGTTCTAAGTTGGATTCGAAGTTATTGGGCCAGCATGTTGCTTTGGGCTTTAGGGTACTTACAACAAGTACCATACTTTATCACAATATTCTCATTCTGGGTCACTTTTTTCGAACGTCAAATGTATTTCTAGCCTTAATTCTTCCACTTTCTGCCCAAAAGGAAAAGAGTAATGAGTAGAAAGTATCATAAGTTGTTTTTAGAGGCCATTTCGCCTATCATGATGTATGAAACTTTATAGGTCTTTTTGGCTTCGGTTTACATTATGCTTTTGACATAATGATACCTGATCTTAATTTTTGACAAATATGGTGCTATGGTTTCACGTAGAGCTCCATCATTATCTAAGAAGCCGAAGCTCTGGCAAAGGGGTGGACAAAGAACACCAAAGATTGGACGGGCTGAATTCCTTAGCCGGCCAAAGAAGACTACCCCTTTGAGAAATCCGTTGAATGGTCCGAGGAATTCATTTGCTTGGTCCGACTCCCCAGTCAAAGGTACATGCCTCCGTAAACGCATTCGTTTTATGTGAAAATTGCAACCTTTACACTAAACTTGCTTATTTTGCAATTGTGATCATTTCAAGAATTTGATGATATTGAATTAGGCTCACTACATTGTCAAAAAAGTTGTTCATATGTTTCAACAAGCTTTTTTTTGCTCACACTTTTCACTAGCCAGGGGTTTTCATGGAAACAACCCCACCTCCGGGACCCCTGGTGGATAGTTTGGTTTAGTTTTTTTTTTTGGATTAACCTGGATATCCAACCCGCTATGCGAGTCGACTAATCTCAGGGCGACCACATGCTTTGCAGATAGCCCGGAGTCACCCCATTTGAACCTCCGTGGCTACAAAGGGATTTTTATTCCTCCTTGGATTTGAACTTGGGACCTCCTGTTATCTTTGACCTTTGGAGCCAAGCTCAAACCAATCAGCCACCACCCTTGTGGTTAGTTTGGTTTGGTTTAGATTGTCACTATTGAAGGGTAAATGAGGTATTTGACCATTGGTCAATACATTTAAACGATCCGACAGAAGTTGTGGCATTTTTTTTTGACTACTATAGATACTAACCTTGCTTAATCTTCATTATGCAAATCATGAGATCGTTTAGGTCCTCAAGAAAGGTTAATACCCATACAATAGTGTGACTACTAAAGGGTATTCTAGGCATTCGACTACTGGTCACGGTTCCTCTCTCGACTATCTTTTAGACCAAAAATTACTTTATTTTCCGATTGTGCTCTTTACAAAGAGTTGGTGACATCGGATACTTGTTTTAATCTATGTTCTTAAAGTTGTAACCTTTCTTCTCTTGTCAATGTCTTAGACTATCATGACTCGTAACGATTGATCAATTCAAATATTTGTTTCAAAATTTGGAAATGCATCAAAATGCAACAAAGTTTGGTTTAGTTCTTATATAGTATAACGAATTTTTCTTCTTAACCAATGCGATCTAGTTTCAATTACCTATTTATTTATTTTGTACTCATTTTTTACTGATAACCTGTCGATCTTTTGTAATATTTGATAACGTGGATACCTGATGTTCATGATGAAGTGGACGGTAAACTTGATATCCGCATCATCAAATGTTACAAGATCAATAGGTTTTCCGGTCATATAAGTAAAATGTAGGAAGTTTGTTACACTTAGTAGGAATTAAGGCAAATTTTGTTACATTTTGATGCATTCCGCTCTTTCAAAATTGATTAAAATCATTCGAGTAATTTTTGTGATGAATATATTTGTCAAATCAGTTGAAGTTATATATTGTACATTGTTAAGTGGATGAATAATACATTTGTCTATTCGGTATTGGTTGATGAAGGAATGGCGAATGAATGGGCGGAGAACGAGTCAACAGGAAGTCAACATGAGTTTTACTCAACATTTCACAAGACCCCTAACAGAAAGAGGTTCTCGAAGAAGGAATGGGAGGAATTCACAGAGGAATCAACGAGAGAATCGGTTGCTGAGTTGGCATCTTCGCCCGAATTCACCGATTGGGTGATTAAGAACGCTAATAGAATCAAACTTCTTCCTGATAATGGCTCAGACGATGATGCGAGTGGCTCAGATTCTACGGATGGATATTTGGTAGAAAACAGTGACAGAGGTCGTTTATTCAACTGGCGATGGCGCTCGTGAAAATATCGATCGATGAGTTTGTGAATCTTTTTCGGGTAGATTTTTAGGGAAGTTTTACACAGGAAAATTTGTGTAGTTTTTGGTCATTATTGGATTTGATTATGAAGTGAGGTTATGGAATGTAAAGTTCTCAGACAATGTAGCAAATGAACCTCACTTTTTGTGTTCAAATGATGTATTTTTAAGTGAGGTTATTGGGTGCCGTTACTTTACATGATAAAATTATTACATCATGGAATCTGAACTTGAAATTCAACTTTTCTTATAACATATCTTAAGAAATTACTTAGCGGAAACGTAATCATAGCTTGTATTTCAACAAAACTTGCTTATTGACTAAAACCATACTATTTTATGCAAATCTTTCTTACTTCTTTCTCGAGATACATACATGAGATATATAAGCTATAAGCTTAGTGGGTATTTATTGTTTCATGAATGAGAAATTTTCATGATATTTTGTAAATGATAATTCATTAAAGCTCTTGATCATGTACAAAAATATTCTTTATTATCATGCATAAACATTCATAACATACTATTCTTTATCATGCATAAAACATTCTTTTGAGATCTCACTTGTCACATGCATGTATACCATACTTGTCTTGAGGTTTGCTAACCCCCGGGTCCATAAAAGGCCGTCCTATAAGGTCCGTTTGCAAGACGTCCCTCCTTGTAATATCCCGTACGTTGGATATTATGATTATACATAACATGTAAAAAATTTCATGCCTTGTGTAACACATATGATAACATATAAATTATTTTCGTTTCTTTTGTGTATACTTGTATTAGAACATGTCATCATGTATATCATGAATATGCATGTGTATCAATATTTCCATGTAAAACCAAACATGCCAACATAAGTTGTAATGCATAAAATACTTCTATATATAGCATGCATGTATCTCATAAACCACATAAGTACTCACCTTGATTTGCCTACTTTTTCTTTGATTCCTTTCTTCAAGCTTAATTAAGTATATATAGAGAGATTTCTTATTTTTGGTATGCACAAATAGTGACCCTTCAATCCCTATTTATAGATAAATTCATTACATTAACTACTTGTTCTTTTTGCTCTCAAGATTGTACTCTTATTAGAGTTTAACATATCATCAATAAAGATAAGGGAATCTTGACAACTCATCTCTAAGGATAAGAGAATCTATACAACTCATGCTTCTAGTACTCATTGTCATGATTCCTAGACTTGTCTTGTAGTCAATAGTCTTGCCCACTCATGTTTTTTTAGCCTAAACAACTTATCACTAGATTGCTTAGTCATGCTTACTAGACTTGCCAA